GTTCATAGAAAATATGCATCATCCGACAGGAATCGAACCTGTATCTTATACGGAAGCGTCATATAGCCTAACGTGCCTTAACCGATTGGGCCACAGAGGATCGTTCGGTTAGTAAGGTCGATTTTATTGTTTTTAAACACAATTCTCCATGATTTTCTCTCAGTCATTCATATCTGCTCAATGCGTATCCAAATGTAAACAAATGACGTCATACATTATGAAATGGACAAAATATATATATATATATATATATATATATATATATATATATATATATATATATATATATATGAAGTAAGGATGGATTTTAATGTATTATTCCGAGACAGATTTTAATTACCTAAACGTTACTTTTTTCTAATAAGATTTCTCGAACATTAAGGCCGGTAGGCGAAAATAAACATACTTTTTAATAAATAAACGGAGCATCAACTCAAATACAAGTATCCACTAAAATAATGTTTAAGTGATAAATATCTGTCTGATTAAAAAATTACAAATTATTTTGTTTACGTTAGGATAGGAAAACTGAACAGATATGTCTATTTCAAAAGTCAGAGAAAAATCTGTGTATAAAGGCACTATTCAACTTTCTATGGTCATCGACGCACTCTGTAGCTGAGAAGTCAAAGAACGTCAGATTTGAATTCCGCTGTAGAGTGTTTATATTTACTCTCATAAGATTTCTCGAATATTCTAGCCGACAGACAAAAATAGATAAATATACAGTTCATTTTCAAAGTCAATAAACCCTACTGACAATTTTTACACTCACTCATCCCCACCAAACGGAAAAATGTAATCTGCCAACGCCCGAGGAGACACATTTGTATTGTTGAAATTTGATTACTATTGTGATGCGATTTTTAACATGTTTTTTTTTTTAATCCTCGATAATAAGTAACATGTATATACAGTGGGAGAATACAAATGCTCGTACACATACAAATTTTTAATTTATTGTATTTCCAACTAATGAATAAACATAATTTTCATATAATTAACTGTACACACTGTACACACATGCATAATAAATAAATATGAATAGAAAACTGAAAAAATTGATTTAATAGAAATAAATCCTATTTATTCATTTTAATGGGTGAAAAAAGAATTCATATAATGCAAATTTCAGATTTTAAAATTTTTAAATTGCATTAACACTCTGGATTATTCAAACCTTGTTTTTGTGGAGTTTTTAAGTATTGTGCTTTGAAATTAATCTTTCGTTTGCCAGTGGTTATGCACCGCCCTAGGAGACAGATTTGTGCTGTTGAAACATAAATGCAGCTGTGTAGCGATTTTTAACATGTTTTATGTTTTAATATCCTAAGATAAATAATATTTAAATGTTTAGTAGAATTATACTCCATTTGTTCTCATTTTACCTGTAGATATATACATATATATGTGCGTGTGTTTGTGTGTTTGTATATATAATGTGTATATACAGTGGGGGGAAAGAAACTTTCGTACACATACAAATTTTTGAATTTATTGTATTTCGAACTAATGAATAAACATACAGTTCATATAATTAACTGTACACAGATCCATAACTAAATAGGCATAGAAAACAGAATAAAATTTGATCTAATAAAAATAAAACCCATGATTCCATATTATATATTCATATATATATATATATATCATATATATATATATATATACATATATTCATATATATATATATATATATATATATATATATATATATATATATATATATTCATAAATATATATATATTCATATATTCATAGATATATATTATATATATATATATATATATATATATATATATATATATATATATATATATATATATATTCATATATATATATATTCATATATATATATATATTCATATATATATATATATATATATATATATATATATATATATATATATATATATATATATATATATATATTCATATATATATATATTCATATATATATATATATATATATATATATTCATATATATATATATCATATATATATATATTCATATATATGTATATATATATATATTCATATATATATATTCGTATATTCATATATATATATATGTTTTATATATATCATATATATATATATATACTATATATATATATATATATTCATACATATATATATTCAGATATATATATATATATATATATATATATATATATATTCATATATACATATATTATATATACATATATTATATATATATATATATATATATATATATATATATATATATATATATATATATATATATATATATATATATTCATATATATATATATATATATCATATATATATATATATATATTCATATATATATATATATATATATATATATATATATATATATATATATATATATATATATATATATATATATATATATATATATATATATATATATATATATATATATATCACATATATATATATATATATATATATATATATATATATATATATATATATATATATATAATTGTAAAGAAATTGCTCAAGAAGAAAAACAAAGCAGCGATAGTTATCAGATGAATAAAGTTTATTAGACTTATCTTGCGACCGTCTTTGAGTTCCGTTTATACAGCGAGTATCTGATCATGACGAGCGGTGTATACGCGAAACTTAAAGTCCGTCTCAAGATGAGTCATTTGAAAACTTTCTTTATCTGTTGATTTGTTTTAGCGGATTATCAACGTTTATGGTTCATTTAATGCCGAAATCTAAATATTTTTAATGCGATTTCTTCAAATATAGATAAAATTTATTGTTGGTAATTTTACTATCAATAGTGGTTGTTGGTAATATTTTATATAAAAATGCGTTGCTGGTACTTTTACTGATAAAACGTAAATGTATAATTTCATAGCGTTTTGTTTTGTTTAGATATTCTGTAATTGTCCAAAGCTGGAACCTTAACAAATGCTACTACTCCGGGTAAGGTCGAACCAGGAAATATTAAGAAAATCTTTATTCGGTATTAAAATTAAAATTAAAGAAATCTTTATTCTGTACTAAGTTCATATTAATGAAATCTTTATTCTGTATTAAATTAATATTAAAGAAATCTTTATTCTATACTAAATTAATATTAAAGAAATCTTTGTTCTGTACTAAATCAATATTAAAGAAATCTTTATTCTGTACTAAATCAATATTAAAGAAATCTTTATTCTATACTAAATTAATATTAAAGTAATCTTTATTCTGTACTAAATTAATATTAAAGAATTTTTATTCTATACTACATTAATATTAAAGAATTTCTTTATTCTGTACTAAGTTAATATTAAAGTAATCTTTATTCTATACTAAATTAATATTAAAGAATTCTTTTATTCTATACTACATTAATATTAAAGTAATCTTTATTCTGTACTAAATTAATATTAAATAATCTTTTATTCTATACTAAATTAATATTAAAGAAATCTTTATTCTGTACTAAGTTAATATTAAAGAAATCTTTATTATATACGAAAATAATATTAAAGTAATCTTTATTCTGTACTAAATTAATATTAAAGTAATCTTTATTCTGTACTAAATTAATATTAAAGTAATCTTTATTCTGTACTAAATTAATATTAAAGATAGTTTTATTCTGGACTAAATTAATATTAGAGAATTCCAGACAACAGTAGTTTCTTTGTTATTAATTTAAAAAATTACTTCCTTTTTAGTTCTTATTCATCACTTTTCCTATGTCATTTCATTCAATTCCTATGACTGAAATTTAAGTCAATTAAAGTATTGTACGAGTTGTATGCAAACTCATCTTTAGGTCACGTTATTGTTATAATAGGAAATAGCAAATGACTTATGAAAGAGGCTTTATTTTTCCTCAGAATGATTTCATTGTTTATTTCTTCCTTGTCTTTCTGTTTCTTTGTTTTTAATCATTTGACCCCCAAACAAGGCAAGACAGGCAGGAAGACACAAGGAGTTATGAAATAATAAGAAAAAGAAAAACATTAAAAAATGGCAACAATAAAAAGCAGGAATCAAGAAGACAGTAGATAACAATTAACATTGCATTTAAACCTTTGAAGATCAAAATTGTCTCAAAAGCATGGAGCCATGAGAGATTTGCACTGACGAGAAGAACCTATTAACATAGAACTTACGTTTAAATCTGATTTTCAATGGTAAAATGACGATACCTATCTGCCAATCTAGTTCTGCACTTAAATTTATAAAGTTTAGGAACCATAGAGAAAAGTGATATTTATTCTGTTTAATACAGAAATGTGGCACATGGCCGAAAAAGGGGGGGAGGACGGTCTTCTTCTGTCTTAACTATAACTTAGCTAGCCACAAACACTGACCCAATCATACGAACAATATTCCTTACACCAAAACAACACATTCATACGTACCTTTCTTACTACAACCACCATAATACCTCTTTGTCTCTATGAAAATACTAACTAGTCCCCATATTTACAATTCATTGTCTGTGTGGGGAGGGGAATAAAAACAACAATTCTAAAAACTAGCCCCAATGATGAAAGTTCATCAGAAAAATTACCATGAAAGTATTTATAGAAAAGTAGCAGTAATATGTAACAAGATCACCAGACTATATATGTGGCAGCCATATTCGAAGCATGGACGAATTGTGGATTTATAAATATGTTAGATAATGGAAGGAAAAATTGTCGAGCGTGACACAGTGAACCAATTTTTCTGGAATCAGAAAATATTTTTCTTGCTTTTTTTCCTGTTTTTTCTAGCGAGTTTCTCTAAATGTCTCTATTCTACAGCCCACCAATTAAATCAATTAATTTATTGTACGAATTGGAAGCAAACTCGTCTTTAAAGTTATTTTAGAGTAGGAAATTGCAGCTGGCTTATGAAAACAGGCTTTAGTTTTTCTTACAATGTTTTAATTGTGCATCTTTCCGCTTTCTCTTTAGAGAATATTTTCTTAATAATTTTGCTGCTCTTTTTTCTCACGATATTCTCAATGTCTCTATTCTCCAGCCCAACAAAGTAAAACTGCCAAAGTTATTCATAATGAAACAACGGCTGACGTATCTTGAACTTTCATTTTATGCCGTCTGCCAAGTCATTTATTCCAAAGCGTACTGCGCATGTCTAATCTTCTAGTGCAGTATCTTCGTCTTAAATCTATTCTACTCGGGTTTGGTTGCTTTAGTTTAGCGGCATATCAACCTGTATTGATTATTTAATGCCGAAGTGTAATTATGTTTTAACACAATTTTATGACTATAATTAAATATATTTTGAACGCAATTCTATTCCTTCAACTACAGAAAAATGTACTGTAAGTAATTTTACTATAAATAGGTATTGTTGGTAATTTTCTTAATAAAGTATTGCTGTTATTTTTACTATAAAATGTATTTTTATCGTAAAAATAACAGTAATACGTTATGCTGTTTCGAAGTTTGATTTTGGAACGCAGTTTGATTTCTTTAAAAAATTGTCGGATATTATGCACAGTGTGGGCGAAAAGTGAGTAAGCATTAAAAATTGGTAATTTAATCAATATTTCTACTACAAACCTATTGAAACAAAATATACATGTTGTAGATTCCGGGGATGGAATCAGGCACAAATAAATAACAACGCCAGTAATAGAAAATATGTGTATTGAACGTAAGAATACAAAGTGAAATGAAGATTAGTAGTCCAGGAATGCGGGTTAGTGGAAAAATATATTTACAAGTCTCTGTAATTGAAGCCGTAATTATCTCTCTTTCTGGACTCTCATAACTCTGAGTGAACACCCTGTGTCGACCTTCTTCCGTCACGCTATCCCTCCGTAGTATAAGTGTTGTGGATTCAGAGATGAAATCCGGCCTCAAATGAATGACAAACGCAGAAATGAAATATAGCAAATAAATGTATTGACGTAATAATACAATTGGTAATACGGTTAGTAGATCCAGAAATGCGGTTAGTAGCAATAATAATATATATACCATCTGGGAAATTCAGTATCGATGTATGACTTCCTTCTGAGTCTACGTGCTCGCAACTGTGACTCCTACAAAGCGGTTACCTCACTCTCTCACTTTATCAGTGTATCTCTCGTCTAACTCCCGAGCATTCACCGGCAGCAGTACAAGTACACACTGGGCGAGTCCACTTGTATGAAAAAGGGGTGGACCCCTTAACAATAAGTATACTTGGACGAGTCCATTTCGTGTACAAGGAGCGAGCCCTACAATAATACATGTTCTTGATTACATGGGAAAATGAAAGTAAATCTTCATATTTCAACATAAGCATCGGTGGCGTCAATTAGTTTCCTCAAACGGTCAAGGATAGAAATAAACAACCTTATGAAGGACGTCGTCCAGGATATCCTTCTTGAATCCGTGTCTCTAGGTCCTCCAGTGTACGGGGTTTTATCTTGTACACCTCCTCTTTTGTGTAACCCCACAGGTAAAAATCACATGGAGTGAGATCGGGACTACTTGAAAGCCATTCATGAGGTCCGTATCGTCCCATCTAACGTCCTGGGAAATGTTGGTCTAACTATGCACGCACCGTAAGATCAAAATGGGTTGGGCAACTATCCTGTATGAATATCGGGTCACCAATGTTATCCCAGCCATACACCGTGGACCACACGTAATTTTCCAGCATGCCCTACAACTCTCCCATGTACCAGCATATGCAGCCTCAGTCCAGATGATAATCTGCAAACCTTGTTTGCAAACAACACAGATATTGTCAGCCAGCCGATTAGGCACGTTGGAATAGTTAACTTGTTTCTGGTTGTTATGAAACCATTTCAGATAGTTTACATTATCTGTTACAAACATACATATATACATATAAAAATATATGATTAAGTAGTGAGTTCGAGCCTTACTGGGTTATCATGTGCCACATTTAAGAATTCATAACACCTTGAACTTCACTTCTTGTCCTTTCTATCGCTGAACCTGAGAACAATAGCAATTAAGAATTGGTTCCACTCTCCTCAAAAGGTCCAAACTCCCGATCAGATGCATTGCTGCCGGGTGTAGTTTATCGTCATACCCAGGACTGAAACTGCATCAAAGTGGCCTGTCAATGTAAGCTACAGCAATTAAATGGTGCTTCCAGGCTCCTTAAAACGTCCACTCTCCCGATCAGAGGCCTTGTTGCCGGGTGTCTTTTATCGTCATACCCGGGTGGGACTGTATTCTAGTCTGTGTTCCTTGTTGTAGTAGCTATAGTAAAAACCAAATATGCATGCCTCCTTGTTAATTTTAATCGGCTGAGCGAATTCTTTTCTGCCTTCCATCTTCATGTTTGATTCTAACCACCAGGGAAGTGATCCCCTGCGCTTTCTCGGGCTAAGTTTTTCCGCTGACCTGAAGTGGAAATACTATATTCAATCAATTGCTAGGTCTGCTGCAAGAAAAATGGTTCACTGTGTCGTGCCACACCATTTTTTCGATCCTGATTTGCATATTCCTGCTGGTCTGGTGCTCCTGCTATATACTTAGAGATCATTGATAAAATTCAAATAAGAATCTGCAATGTTATTGGTCCTAACCTGGAGTCACGGCTCCAGTCCCTTTCTCGCCACTATAATTTAGCTTCCCTGTTGCATTTAAATTTTTGAAGATTGTAGTTGACGGGGAAGCAAGAAATCGGAAGGGAGTTGCACAGTAGAACCGCGAGACTTAATTGCCAATCTAGTATCACGCTTAAATTTGTGCAGCCTTGTCACAACGGAGAAAAGCCATGATGGTAAAATAGATCCATATAGGAAAAACTAGGTTAACCTAGCTTGCTAAAAGTGTTGGACGCCTTAGTCTTTCTTTAGTTATCCACCTAGGAGATGTAGACACGCTGATATCAAACTTGCGACTTAGATTGCATTCAATGATGTAGACGAGTTATGTTCACCTTCTGGGCTGAATGTTGTCATTGTTGAAAGAATGAGACTAGTTCGTTGCAATGCATTTTGGCACCGTAAAAAGCTTTAAGCTTATCGCAAAGCTTTGCAACAAAATACACAATGGGGTCTTTTCTTTTCCATTGATCATGATGGATGGGAATCCATATTGAATATCAGATCCATCATAGCGTCGTATTTTTTGATACTCATGGTGGGCTCCAAATTCTGTAAATAAAAAAAAAAACATGAAAAAGTAAAAGATTCCCCACTCCCCACTTGAAATCTTGAAATTCAGCCCAGTTTTATAACCTCTGTAATAGAGGGTGTTCCAGCTTGCTAATTGTAAATTGAATAGTTCGTTGCAATGCCTTTTGGCACCTTAAAAAGCTTTAAGATTATCGCTAAAGCAGTAGTTCTTAATCTGTTTTGCCTGATTCACCTTTTTCACTATAAGTCAGGATGTCATTCCCCACCATTCCAAGATTATCCGACTCAAAAGGTGCGTTCCAAATAAAATTCATCTATTATTGAAAATCTTCATTCTTTTTCTATGTTTGTACATATCCATTTACATGGATTGTTTTTTTATAGAGGAGTTTTACAATTTTAATAGCAATGTGAAATCTTGATGTATTTTGAAACTTGAATACATGTACACTAATTTGTTTTTAATACACAACTAATAATTAAATAAACTGGAGCATACAAAATGTTCCAGAAAACGAAACTGAGATTCTGAATTTGTATTTTAACCAAAGTTGCATCTCTTTACACTGATACCCTTTAGAAAGGCATGAACCCACATCTCTTTCTATTTGTTGGCAAATAGCATAACACTTAGAGCTGTTTAAGGCAGTCCATCTAAGAAATTGGTCCTCAACCTTTTTCACCCAATATGCCCTTTTCCCCATAAATCAGAATGTCACCCCACCCCGCTTTCCAAGATTGCCCAGTTTGAAAGATTCATTTCAAATAATATGCATATATTATTGAATATCTTCATTCTTTTCTATAATTTTCTACATTTCTATTTACATGGATTATTCTTGGAGTTTTTTTTTAAACCCTCAAGATGGGCTCAGAATGTCATCCCATTCACCCTTTCCAAGATTATCCAACTCAAAAGGTGCGTTTCAAATAATATTCATATATTATTAAATATCTTCATTGTTTTCCATATTTCTACATGTCTATTTACATGGTTTAGTTTTATAGAGAAGTTTTAGAAACTTAATTGCAATGTAAAATGTTGATGGATCTTGAAACTTGAATCCATCATTTTTTTTTTTTTTAAGCATTTCACCCCAAGCAAGGTGAGAAGCCACTAGGACGCAAGGGTTACAGAAAATTTAGAACAAGATCAGATAGAAGTGATAGAAGAAAGGATGAGGAGAAGAGTAGTGGATAGATCAAGGCAACTGGAGATGTCGATTGACATTACACTTGAATAGCTGGAGATTATAGCTCACAGGGAAACAGGAATAGGGAAGGGTGTTCCACAGGCGAGAGGTGCAAGACATGAAGCTATTGGAGTAGAAGAGACGGCTACATTTAGGAGTTTCGACAGTGAAGGGGTGAGAGCGGGATGCCAGCCTCGTAGGGCGCTGGAACTCATGACGTCTGGGAACCAGCGAATGCAGCTCCTCGGAGCAATTTCCATGAAAGTATTTGTAGAACAGACAGAGGGAGGCGACGGCGCGTCTGTGAGAAAGTGACTGTAGACGAGACGCCAGGGCAGGGCCAACTACATTGCATATCCGCCTCTGGAGCCTATCAAGAATATAGTATAATAATTTGGTTTCATTCATAACTAATTATTAAATAAGTAAACTGAAGCAGACTTCAATAAACATAAAGTTCAAGAAAATGAATTTGAGAACCTAAATTTGGATTTTAACCACCAAATTTTTTCGGTGATGTCTTTAGGAAAGACATGAACCCAATATGAGTCAGAATATCATTCCCCCCCCTTTCCAAGATTGTCCGACTCAAAAGGTGCGTTCCAAATAATATGCATGCATTATTAAAAATCTTCATTCGTTTCTATATTCGTACATATATATTTACATGGATTATTTTTATAGAGAATTTTTACAAAGTTAATAGCAATGGAAAACTTGAAACTTGAATAATAATTGGTTTTTCAATAATTCACAGCTAATTATTCAAGAAACT